ATTCTATTCTTTTTCTCAAGTTTTAGTAATTTATCAGTCCTGCATTGCTTCTGTAATGAATCGAGTATTCATATCCGCGGAGCACCGGCAATTCGAATTGATTCAAGTCCCAGCTGGGGATTCCTTATCACACGACATATGTAGAACTTAATCTTGCATATATCAACCTCGCTACCAGATTCTTCCGTACTAAGCCGTCTCCACGCCACCCGAGAGCACAGCACGCCTCAAATCCGGCCACATTCAAGCCACAAGGGTACACGCTACTTCCGTCATCTCACCACTCCCAGTGCGTGGGCATTCGTCTTAGTATCGGATTAGCCGAAGTAGGCTTACCGGAGTATGTGACCAGTACTACAAAGTGTCTCGTTCAGAAGATCCACAATGAGTGGCCTTTAAGCGACATAGCCGACAACATTACCCAACATTCAAGATAAGCCACCCGACTAGTCTCTAGTTCATTCTATCTTTTTTCTTTCTTTCTTTGGCCAGTATGCCATCTTTGATTGTATCGAAACTTTTACTTTGAAAGCCTACCATAAAGCATACTAAGCAATTCTACGCCTTTATAAATGAAATCATCTTTAAGGATGGTAAACAATCAACAAGATAGGCAATGCATCAAGTAGGTAACATTTGAATAAATCAACTTAATGCAATAAGTAACATAGGTGATAAACTTTTTAAAGTAAACAAGGTAATGGTTTAATGCATAAACCGGGGCTTGCCTTCGTTGACGATCTCAGGTTCCGGATCAGTACCACAATTTCGAATCCCGTGACAACCGGGGATCCTTCCACAACTTGCTCAACTAGAATCGTTTCACTCTCGGATTCTACACGAAATAATAACATATGCTTCAATATGATAATAATGTAAATATGATGCTTTCATGGTACATGAAATGTAATCACACCTTGAATACAACTTTCCTTCGCGATACAGTTGTAAATCAACAAAACTACTTGACACTAACACCTAGGGTTTATGACCTAAGCGACTTGACCAAATTGATCTTGAAACCCTACTAGTCACAAAACATGACCCAAACAAAAAAAATTAAACCCTAACACTAACAATTAGGGTTGCTTTTATTCAATTTTTAATTAATTTGAAATAAGCCCAAAAATAAACTTATTCCAAATGACCTCAAAATTTTATGTAAACTTTCTCATAACAAATTAGTGTACCAAAATAAATTTCATAATTTTTGGAGCTATACAGTGACCTACAAAAATTATGGAAATTGCATTTATCAATTAATTGACTAAATTTTTTAACATTAAAAATTTATTCAAATTTCAAGTTTCAAATTTTTAAACCATAATAGAGCATGTACAGAAGCTACACACAAATTTTCAGAATTTTTGGAGCTATGATTATTTTCCTACAGATTTCCAAAGTTTCAGCACTATTCAAAATCAGAAAATAACAAAATTCACTATTCTCTCTCTCACGGACATCCAGGGCCCGTATGTCAGCGGCACCAACAGGGCACGGCGGCGCTGATCGGCCGATTTCCTCGCCGACGGCGAGGTCTCCGACCCCGAGCTCTGCATCTACACGCTCTACGCGACCTGGCGGACACGCTGGTGACCCTAACGGGGCAGCGGAGGTACCGGAGCTAGTTCGTCGACGGTCATGGCGGCTCGACGGCAGCGGCGACACGGTGGCAACGGCCACCGGAGTATCTCCGGCGATGGCGAGATCACCTACAGCTTCTACGCACACAGGCGAACATAACTGAGCGGCTGAAGCAGCAAAAAGTAGCCCCCAGCGGCTAGGCTTCGTGCACAACGGCGGTATCGAGCGAAGTTCGTCGGCGAGCACGCAGACAGACGTCAACGGCATAGTAGCGACTAAACGGGCAGCGCGGGCGTGATCAGTGACTCACCACGATGCTCGGACGCTATCAGGTTGAAGGAGAACCCGATCGGAGAGCTCTGGCCACGGCGCGCTGACCGTGCGCGAGGAAGACGATGTTGCACGGCCTACTCCAGTGCGACGAGGTACTGCGGCTGGCTCCAAAAGGTGTACAAGGGAAAGGCGGAACTTGTGGCGTGGCCAATTTTGGCAGGGGACGCGCGGCTGAGGCAACGGCGAGCGGCGGAGCACGACGGCGGCGGTGGTGGTGAAACAGGGGATGGAAAATGAAAACAACGACGGCGGGTGCTCTATTTATAGAAGGAGAGGGCGCCTCCAGCTTCGCCAGCTCCTGAACGAGGTCACCACGGCGACAAAAACGTGTCACCGTGCATGGAAGCAGTGAAGATGATCGGCGGCGGCAGCTCGGTGGCGAGCAGGCGGTGGTGCTCTGCTGTCAACAAAAATTTTGAAATATTTACAGAATTACCCCTGAGTTCATTTTTTAAATTACTCTCAAATTTTCTAAAGAAGTTGAAAATCTCCAAAAATGAAAGTTGCTCAACTTTTCAAACTCTACAACTTTGCTTCAATGAACATTTTCAAATTCTGCCTCCATTTTGAAATTTGAATTTGGGGTGCATTTGAGTATTTGAATCATTTCAAAATTACTCCAAATTTTATATGTAAACTTGAAAAACTTTGAATACCAAAGTTGATCCACATAAAATAATCTCCAACTTTGCTTTTTGCCTCAACCCCAAACTCTACATGGATTTTGAATTAGTCAAAAGGGGCAAAAAGGACTTTTATAATTTGAATTTGAATTCAAATTTGATTTGTCTTTATTTTACTTTAACTTTGATTTTTGACCAGTAACATGGCCCATTAGGGTTATTTGAGTCAAAAGACACATGGCCTCACATGATCGCATGAAATTTGACCCTTGGGTCATGATCTTTATTTAGGGTTTTGAAACACATCACATGAAATAACAACATTATGAAATAAAGCTTATTTAATGAATGCATTCAAAATTTTCTACTCTATGAATGCTTTGCAATGCATATGATGACATGTCAAATTTTAGTGCTAGATCAAAACACCAGAGGTGTTACAAAATTCGAATCCGGACAGAAATATAAAAACAAAGTTAGGTGGTGTTTGGATCACTAATCCAAGGACTAAAGTTTAGCTCATAAACTTTAGTCCTGCTGGGCCGTTTAGATACATGGGCTAAACTTTAGTCCTCTAATCTACAATGACTGATTTACCCTTATTTATGCCCTGTTCGTTTGGCTTACAAGCCGTATTTTTTTAGCCAACGAACAGTATTTTTTTCTTACAACAAACCAGGCAACAGTACTTTCAGCCATGGCTTATCAGCCAAGCGAACAGGGCATTAATTATCCATGCATAGCCATGCATACGAGTGGCAAGGGATATGGGCGTCCAGCGCCCGCTCTGAGGGAGTTTAGCCCAGTTTAGAGCCTCTTTAGGGGCAAAAGATTTTAGCCTATTTTTAGCCATTTGCTCACTTTTAGTTCTCTGTTTGGATCCTCATGGTAAAAAAGGCTAAAACTGCAGGGTTAAAGTTTTGCCATAAAATTCAAATAGAGCTACAGTATTAGTGATATCCGTTCGTATCCGATGCATTTTCGTCCCTAATATAGATGGCCAACGGCCCGGTCCGGCCTGGCACGGCACGCCGTGCCTCATAGGGCCACGGGCCTGGCCTTTCGGCCCAGGCATGGCCCAATGGGCCGATTTTCGTGTCGGGGCGGCCCGAGAAGCATGGCCATTTTCACAGGCTGTGCCAACTCGAGGCCCACTGAGCGGCCGCGTGGGGAGGTGAGGCGGAGGTGGTTGCCGGGGCTGGGAGCGGCGGAGCTCCGGATCTCGAGGGGCAAGAGTTGCACAGGCGGCGCCCTCCCTCAAGCGATGGAGAGGAGGAGATAAAGAGGGGCCGAGAGGGTGAGCGAGATGGAGAGGTGAGAAAACAAGGAAGGGAGGGAGTCGCCGGATCTGCCCGCCTGCGCGCTCCTAGCCACGCGCCGTCGAGGGAGAGTGAGGGAGGCAGGGATGGGGAGGACGCGCCACGCCAGCGTCAAGGCAAGGGTTGGGAGCCGGATCCGCGGTGGAGAAGACCCAGCGTGGCCAGATCCACGACAGAGATCTAGCGCCGCCACGGAGGCGAGGGATGGTGAGGAGGACGATGGATCTCGGGGCACTGGATCTGCGTCGGGGCGGAGCTTGGGGCCGGCGCGCTCGCTCCCGTAGTGGCGTCGCTCGAGGAGAGGGAGGGGCAGGGGGCGTCGGCGTCCGTGCTAGACCATCGGCGCTGTGAGGAGAGGAGAGGTCACGCGAGGGAAGGGGAGGGGGCGTCCGCGGTGCCGGTGCTAGGGTTCGGGGTGAGGCGTGAGGGAGAGGCGGAGAGGGAGCGATGCCGGTGCTAGAGTTCGGGGTGAGGCGTGAGGGAGAGGCGGAGAGGGAGCGGCACGGCGCTAGGGTTCGGGGTGGCGGAGAGGGAGCGGTGCCGGTGAGGCGTGAGGGAGAGGCGAAGAGGGAGCAGCGCCGGCGCTAGGGTTTGGGGTGAGGCGAGGCGTGAGGGAGCGGCGCCGGTGCCCACTTATATATGAGGGGGGAGGCGGGCCGGGGATGACGGGGAGCGCATGGGGCGCGCTAGGCCTTGGGAAGGGGAGGAGGGGGAGGCGGCAGGCCGGGCCGCTAGCGGGCCGGCTGCTCTGTAGCAGGCCGTGCCGTGCCGACCCACGTGCCTGGGGTAAGGCCCAGGCACGGCCTGCTCCTCCGAACCGGGTCAGCCCGGGCCCGCTAGCCACTGGGCCGGGCCGTGCTTGAGCCGGGCCAAAAAAAAGTATCGCCCCAATCTTATGGCTTGTTTGGAACGCATGAATTTTATAGGAATCACACATGAATTTCATAGAAATCGGTTCAATTTTACAAGAAAAAACGTAGGAATGGAAAAAAATCGCGCATTCAAACAAGCCCTCAGAAGGCCGCGACTCTAGGGTTTAGACTTAACAGTTCTCCTGCCTCCCTCGCCTCCCCCAACGCGCCGTCTAGGGTTTCACAGCCGCATCCGGATCCACTCGAGCGCCCCTCCCCGCCCCGCCTCCATGGAGTTCGACGAGTACGAGTACCTGGAGAAGGCGGTGGAGCCCGCTCCCCCACTGGCCAATGGTTCCGGCGACAAGGACCGAGGCTCGCGCCGCCGCGAGGGCGGGGAGGACCGCATATCGAAGCGCTCCCGCTCGGGGGAGGACCGCGACCGGGACCGGGACCGGCACCGCAGCGGCCGGGAGCACCGTGACCGGGATAGAGATGACGGGAAGGAGAAGGAGAGGAGCCGCGACAGCCGCGGGAAGGATAGGGACAGGGAAGGCAGAGAACGGGAGAAGGAGAGCGGGGACAAGCACCGGCTCAGAGAGAGGGAAGTGGAACGGGAGCGGAGGAGCCGGAGCCGCTCGGAGCGGCGCCGTGCTGAGGAAGAGGAGATGGTGAGGGAGCTGGAGCGGGAGCGCGAGCGCAGCGAGCGACACCTCCATCGCGGTGACGTCAGGTACGAATTCGTGAACTCTCCTGTATAATGCTATTGGGACACGTCTGATGCAATTCAAATTAATGGCCTTGTTACGAGCCCGTTGGATTGTCAATTGGTAAAGGTCTGTGATGTGATTCGTAGAGGCTAAGTTTCTAGTTCCAAACCCTTTGTAGGGTCAGTTACCAAAACCAACATTTTGTCATCCTGGGCCTTGTTCTTGTAAGCATCTGTACAAGCTTTAAGTCTTTAAAAGAGTAGAGCTGGGGGTTGGATTTGCTTGATTGAGTGCACATGATTCTCTGTTGCTTTAGAAATTTTGTATAGCTATGTGTTGTAGTGTGCAGTTTATATGTATAGTAGCTTTATGACTTTCTTTTGGCACATACATGTCAAACATAGTGAGTTTGCATTAGTACCAATCACCAGTGTTTATAGGGCTGCTAACATATGACTGTAGTTTATTTTTATATTATCATCTAGGGTTGTTAAGTTTGAATATTGAATATTAATATGGGAACTCGCAGATATGATACGATAGAGCCGTCTTCAGATGGTACCTGCAATTGGGCCTGACTCAAGATATCAGGTCACCATTCTTTTTTTATCAAATCCTTGTGGGGTACTTGCAAGTTAACAACATGGATTGGGCTAGCACGGTTGGGGGACATGGATTGGGATGGTACAGTTGGGGTTCTTGGACACATTTGATTATTTGTGCTTATTAGGGATGAATATAATAATACAGTTGGGGTTCTCGGAGTTGTACAGGAGGAGGGAGATGTGAGTTTGGAAGGTCAAGTAGTGCCTAAGAAGGATACCTTTCGGTATCTGGGATCGATGCTACAGGGGGATGGAGATATTGATGCGGACGTTAGCCATAGAATCAAAGCATGGTGGATCAAGTGGCGACAAGCTTCTGGCATTCTCTGTGACAAGAGGGTACCACAAAAGCTAAAAGGCAAGTTCTATAGAACGGCGATTAGACCGGCTATGTTGTATGGAGCAGAATGTTGGCCTACAAAGATTCGACATGTTCAACAACTGAGTGTTGCAGAAATGTGTATGTTGCGATGGATTTGCGGTCACACAAGAATGGACCGAGTTCGGAACGATGATATACGTGATCGCCTAGAGGTAGCACCAATTGAAGAAAAACTTGTCCAACATCAGTTGAGGGTTTGGCCATGTCCAAAGGAGACCTCCAGAGGCACCAGTGCATTGTGGAGTCCTAAGCCAAGCTAATAATATGAGGAGAGGTAGAAGAAGACCGAAATTGACATGGGGGGAGGCAATAAAAAGAGATTTGAAAGCTTGGGATATACCTAGAGATCTATGTTTGAATAGGAGTACTTGGAAAGCAGCTATTGAAGTGCCTGAACCGTGACTTGGGGCTCTTGGTGGGTTTCAACTCTAGCCTACCCCAACTTGCTTGGAACTGAAAGGCTATGTCGTCGTTGTTGTTGTTGTATAATAATAGTCACAATTCTATTTTTAGTGCTTCATGCCTTGTTTATGCTGCTTCGTTAAATATGTTCTCTTTTCTCGTTGTGAAGGCGTAGGAAAGATGATGGGGCAGAGCCAGAAGTTGATCCAGAAAGGGACCAGAGGACTGTATTTGCCTTCCAGGTTGATTTTTTAATAAAGTGCTCTACTGTACTAGTTTATACTTTGACCCATTAAACTTAAACTAATGTTAGTAAGCATTACTGCAGCTATCTTTGAAGGCAGACGAAAGAGATGTTTATGAGTTTTTCTCAAGGGCTGGGAAGGTAAGATGCTTCCAGGTTTTTATATTTATTGTTATTAGTTAGGCAAATATCAGCATTTGATGCTGTAGGCATTTGTTTGCTATGTCCCCCACAAAGTAAAACATATGATGTCACACATTGCTGTTTTTACTTTTTAGTGAAATGGATTTTTTTTTATCAAATCTCCACATATTAGACAATTTATATCATTTCAAATGTAAGAGCATATTTTAGAATGTTACATGCTTACAATCCCACATGTGTCTACATCTGTGAAAAGAGCATAACATTTCTCATATGGTAAATTGGGGTTTTGATGATTTGATATCTGATTTCTAATGTTTATGTTAACATTTTCCAGGTTCGTGATGTTCGTCTTATCATGGACCGAAACTCAAGACGTTCTAAAGGAGTTGGGTGAGCATTGTATACCTGTTATGATCCTGATTTGTGCGGTAATCTAGAGATGTACTAAACTCGTGTGTTTATTATTGTTTGCGGTTAGCATATTTGTGGGGGCATTGTCTGGAGTTTAGCTTTAGTATCTCCAGAATTGTGCCACATAAAATGGCGGGTTAGGATTTTGATTGTGTCCTAGATGACAGCATACACTTGTGCTCAGGAAACCTTAAAAAATATACTTTTCCCACCATGGACGAACCAAATTTCATTGCCCAATAGCAGTGACATTACAAAAGTTTAACAATCCATATTTATGTGCTTAACCAAAGCTAACCAGGCTGCCAATTTTGTCGAGTGCATTTTCATTTGTTAGTTGGTAGTTTTTTCGAGTGCAATAAGACTATCTTTCTAAATGGTTGTCCTATTACTTGATCTTTTTTAATTCGGCTTGCTTCCTGCAAAAATATTAGTGCTTAAGCATTGAATCACCTTTTTAAACATTGTTGTGGATCAACTTCTGTGTATTGGGGATTTACTTCTATCAAAATAAATAGCTGATTTTGTGACCGTTGCCTATCATTTTTTTCCTTTTTTTTTAAAAAAAATCTATTAGTGGCCATATAATTGTGTGCGCATCATTTGTAGTTCATGTTTCGCATTTTTCTGGGGATCATTTTTCATCAATTTGTCATACTCAACAGGATTGCACACTGAAATTTTTAATGTGGTCTACCTGCTGGGATTATCGGCAATTTACAAGATGGAATATTAGATCATTCTGATGTCAGTCAGCAGTCGAGGACAGTTTGATTCCAGTGTATTTGACAAACACTTGGTGCAGGTTTCTAGGCAATAAAGGGGGCACCCAAGAACCAAGTTCGAAAACCTCCTACACAAATTTTGATCAAAATGCCTGAAGTTTTCTGTGAAAAATTGAAATATCTTAACATATGATGCCCCACTTATTGCTCTTTCCTTTTTTCTTTTACAGGAAGACATCTTTTCTTGGACGCTTCGATATTTGTACTAAACATATATCTAAATTTGCAGGTACATTGAGTTTTACGACGTTATGTCTGTTCCAATGGCAATTGCTCTGTCTGGTCAACCGCTGCTTGGACAAGCAGTGATGGTTAAGCCATCTGAGGCTGAAAAGAACTTAGTTCAGTCAAATGCGACATCAGGTGGTGCGGCTTCAGGTGGAGCAAGAAAGTTGTATGTTGGCAATCTTCACTCAAATATTACTGAAGACCAATTGAGACAGGTACATTTGATATGTTCTTGTATTGCTCACCCCGCTTATAAGTTATTCATTTATCATTCCTTTTTTTACACTATATGATTTTTTTTTCAAATTCGTGATGGAAAAAAACCGCTGAGGCAATAGCAAAAGTTTTTAGTATATTTTGTCAATTAATTATTTGCTTATGTATTGGGATATGTTGGTACTTCATTTTAATAAGGTGTACTAAATAACCGTTGGGCTTCAGTTAGTCCTGTGAGATTCAGGGTTTCACTTGTGGTGCCTAAAATTTAATGTGACCAAAACTACTATTGACAAAATAGTTTTGTTCATTGCTGCATGTTGTTTTGTGGAGAATTAGTTCTCCAAGTCCATATTATCATGTTTTACTTAACGATGTTTTTCATTATGTCCGAATAGGAATGACGGAATGACTGCTACTTGTATTTAGTTCCTCACTATCCATTGTGTGATGATAAGTTTCTGTCTCCAGGTATTTGAACCATTTGGGCAAGTGGAGCTTGTACAGCTTCCTCTAGATTCAATGACTGGATTGTGCAAAGGTTATGGTTTTATTCAGGTAAGTTTTTCCCCTGAAGCTCCACCATTGACCATGTCTCTGTTTATTCTTACTATGTTGTGCCATGCAGTTTGCACGGCTTGAAGATGCAAAAGCTGCACAGAGCTTGAATGGGCAGCTTGATATCGCCGGCAGAGTTATTAAGGTAACATTTCATAGGAATCATGTGGTTTACGGAACAGATAATACATGGTTGACAATAGTCCATCCATTTAACACCCTTGTTTTTTCCTTCAACCAGGTTTCAGCTGTTACTGATCATGTGGGAGTGCAAGCTAGTGGAATAACTACTGGAGATTTAGATGACGATGAAGGTGGAGGCTTGGTGGGTGAACTTATTTGGTTCAACATGTTGGATAACGTTATATAACTGGGGATTTCTATGCCTTCTATAAGTTTTTGGACCTTGATATTTGGGCAAAGCAGAGGATTTAACCTTGCATATATATTACAAACAAAATCGTCAGAATTTTGGGAGGTTCCGTTCACATATAATAATCTTACAAAAAATATGTTGAGATATTTAATTTATTTTTTCTGAAGCATTATGCAACTATTAAGATTTATGTGTTCTTGTTAGGCATTTGGTTAGAATGGTTTCACATTGAAAGACTTGCCGAGTTGTTATGATAGGGAAGCTAGAATGTACATAGTTGACTCATGTTTGTGGTTACTTTTTTATTCATAAGAAATTCAGATTATTTTATCTTCTATATTTATTACAATTTGCAAGCTACATATGTCAGAAAAGGTTAACAGCTGGGCCTGGCATATCATAGCTCGGTTCATATAAAATGTGCTGTTTGTATTCTGTCGTATCTTGTAGAATTGGCAATGCGCTGGCAATGAATGTATGGGGCTAAACATATGAATACGTACATTCACCTTAATTTTTTTCATCATTCAGACCTTTCTCATAGCCTCTAAACTGTTTTGATGTTACCACTTCACTTGGTAGTTTGGCATTAATGCATTATGCTAAAGGGGAATACTGGGGAATGGGGTGGTCAACCAGTCATCCTACATATATCAATGCTTCTTGCTAGAGGATTTTGCTCTATTTGATGCATTTGTTAAACATGTGCAGGCACTAAATGCAAGCTCCAGAGCTGCTCTTATGCTCAAATTGGACAGGAGTGGTACTGCAACCAGGTATTTGTTAAGTCTTTCTTGACAAGAGCGCACTTGGCATGACTTGATCAATTTGGCTTCATTCCTGACTTCAGTTGCTAACTTCTTTAACTAGGGTTATTTATCAATAGTAGATTAAAAATGTTTTGTCAATTTGTGCAGCTATACTAAAATCAGGTTAACAAGGTTGCACCGCACACCTCTAGCTTATGTCCTATGGTGTTATTCCAGTGACCGTCCACAGATTGCTGTCACCTGACATACCGTTGGGGATGGGGTATCATTGCTTTGAAGAAATTAGATAAATAGAATAAAAGTCCTCTATGAATTTGCTAATTAAAGCATATTGGGATCGTCGTTTTGTACCAAAGCCCATTTTACTGATGTACATATTAGCATCAGGATTTATTTTTCCTGGCATGTTGATTGTTAAGTTCATTCTTCATGGAGCTTATTTCATTATCTAGAGTTTTGGTTGCCTCAGATAGTTACAGTAATAATTTGCTATTTGTGTGTTGTTGACTTTTTTTCTTGGTTATCTACAGCTTAACTGGTGGTATTGGTGCTGCTGGAGTGGCTTTACCAGCTACTTCAGTTATTGGGGCTCCAGGAGCTGCTTCTCTTCTATCACCAACAGTTGCTGCTGTTGGATCAGTTCCTGGGGCACCTGTGCTTCCTGTTACCACTCAGAATGTGATCATGTCTACACCTACAGAATTCTTGTTGCTTAAAAACATGTTTGACCCAGCGTTGGAGGTATTCCTCTTTTGCACATGTTTGTTCATGAATTTTAGGCATGCCACGGGCATGATGATTTTTTTGTTTGGCTGATTCAAAATTTGTCTTCCTTGGCATTTGTACATTTGTTTCAATACTGACCTGACTGATGAGAAGTTTTTTCTTTTTATTTTTCAGACGGATCCTGATTTTGACTTGGACATTAGAGATGATGTCCAAGATGAATGTTCCAAGTTTGGTGCAGTGAAGCATATTTTTGTTGACAAGTAAGTTGTCTTTCCCATTGTTCAATATCCTTCCGTTTGAAATAATAGTTCAACTTAGTTACGTTTATAGAAAAATCACCTACATATACAACATCAAATTAGTTTCCCTAAATTCTCCATGAAATATGTTTTTATAGTGCATTTATTGAACTTGTAGGTGCTACTATATTTTTCTTAAAACTGGATCAAAGTTAGAAAAGTTTGACTTAGGACAAGTCAAAAGTATAATTTGGACAGAGGGAGTGTGTTATGACCGGCGTCACATATACCAGGCGGAGGCCCATTAGTGGCTGAGCTTGTGCGCCGGCATTAGGGGGCTAACAGCCCATATTATCTATTATTTAGCCTATTTATTAGATATATCCCTTATTTGTGAGAGCTATATATATGGCTTGTAAGACATTTGGATAATTAAGCAGAAACAATCTATTGTTTCCGGCTTCCCCCGGGAGCTCCTAACCCTAGCCGCCTCTACTGTAGCTACGCGAGGGTTAGGGCTACAGCCGTAGCCGCCCATCCTCCACCACGGCGTCTAGCCGCCGGCAGCGAGGTTCCCAGCCTGCTCCACCTCCCTCTCACCCCTACAGACTCCGTGATCTATGCGGTAGGATCCGTAATCCTATCAGAGTGGAATTTGTCTTGGTTGTTCTAACAATAGTAGTGTAATGTGACTTTGGTCTACTTAATCAACTCAATTATATTTATGTTCTATTTATTCCTAATTTGAGTAATGTTTTTTTTGTTAAATCTGCTGCAGTTTAGTTTGTTCCTTTTTCTAATGGTGTTTACTTTGGTTCTGAACTCAAGGCTATATTATGTGGCCGTGTTGTCTATTCTCAACTTCAACTAACATGTCACTTGTGTTGCTGTTGTTACAGAAATACTACAGGCTTTGTGTATCTGCAGTTCGATAGTGTGTCTGCAGCAGCGAAAGCCCAACAAGCACTTCATGGAAGATGGTTCGCGGGAAAGATGATTACAGCGACATTTATGGTAATGTGATCCTGAATTCTAGTTGCCATGTTTCTTAATGGATAACTTGTTCCTATTTTTTATTGAACTTTTTTTAAAACATTTCCTTTATTTTCTGCAGTCCGCCCAGGAGTACAGTACGAAGTTCCCAAACTTGTGAGCATAAGCGAGGAATAGTTGGCCAGACCTGCATAGTTACTTGGCTCGTAGTGTTCGCAAGTGCTGTATTGTTGGATGGTAGACTAGACGAACACCTTATTGATTGTATGACAGGATAGTCGCAGTACTGGGCGTCAGTACAATGTTTTATGTACTTTATTTACGGCGTCACACAGTGACCAACCCTTATTTTTGTCCACCGAATGAAATGCCCCTATGATCTCCAGGCTTGTTGGCATATCCGCATATGGTTAATTTTCTCTGGACGGTCCGTCGTTAGAGCATCTCTGAGAGTTAAGAATTTCTTTCCAAAATCACGGAGTTTTTCAACTCGTCAAAATAGGAGGAATAAATAAGATCCTTATAATTTTGCATCAGGAGTCCTATACTAAATTATTTCTATCATGTACGTTTGTAATTTCTATTATGTACGTTTGTAACCTTTTTTTAGGAGTTGTTGGATTTTTTTTCATTCTTCCAAAAAAATCATGAATTGAGAATGATTATTGGGTAGCTCTTAGGTATATACCTAAACAAAAACGTTACATAAATCACGACGATACCTTAATTAATTCCCCCGTCTTGGGACATACGTCACCATCAACGAATTTTGGTCCGCTTTCCTATGTTTCTCATTTTTATTGTTATATTTTCTGATGTTGATGTTTTGATGTGTTTTTCCTTTCACCAAGAAGTCCATTTCTATCCGTTGCGTTTTATTTTACTCCACTGATACTGTTTTTGGTTATTTTTTTTTTTTCACCAAGAAATTCACCGGCAAAGTAAGAAAAAACAACCAGCTCCAACGGATGGGTCTATTTTGCTCCAACCACGTTGCATATACTAGATGATATTCTAAAGCAAGATATTCTGCGCATTGCTGTAGGAACTCTAAGCTGTCATTTTTTATATGGCTTACGAAAAACATACCTTCCAAAATAATTGATGAAATCCATCATGTAATATTATGTTAAAAATGGTAGAGTTGTTTTTTTTACCGTAAAATACTGTGGGGGAGATCCCCACAGTGAGGACTTTTCATTTAGAAGAAGAGTACACCTACAAAGGGGTATTAACTAAAAGCATCTAGCTAAACACAAAATGATGATCACAAGTCATCTTTAAATCTAACAGACTGAAGGTAACATTGATTTCTAAAATTTCATCCAGACGGCTATGCTTGGTTGTGTCAATCTATCCAACAGCTGCCTCAGTGGTAAAATTGTTACTGTAGGATTTATATATAATAAATAAAGTAGAACTAAGGCTGCAGTAGTGAACCAACCAACGGAAATGGTGCCATGAGGTGGGTAAATGAAAATAACAACTAAAATCTTATTAATCTTTATAAAACTAGGGCTGCAAAGGTATTCGAGAACTCGGAAAGACGAACGGGCAGAGGACGGCACAACGGTAGCATGGCGTTCTAGTCCATGGCAGCCCAAACCACAGGCTGTGGAGTCCATGGCAGCCCAAATCACAGTTCACAGACCACGTACAAGGCCCAATGGGAAAGTAACGCTTCGTCTTCGTCTGAATGTGTGGCGTTCTTATTCTCAGCGATTCGACCCCAGTCCCCAGTGTTCGAGATAAATGAGCCATGTTTGTGAGTAAGATTCGGAGATGCTTACATGGTTATGCACGAGTGAGTACGTGTATATGTTGTGGACGTCTATGCTATGCTGTGTATTTCTTAAAAAAAAAGAATTCACTCACTCCCACGAAACAAACAAAAGGTTTTGAAAAAGTAAGATATGGAATTGACTATTCCACCTTTTTTTCTACAAAAGAATTGAAATGGTAGAGCTTTTTTCGCCTTAGCAAGAGTAAGAGTACATTGTTTTTTGAGATATTTATTTGTATGGTCCTCGAAATAACGTATATTCCTTTCATGGTTCATTTTTTTGAACTTACTTGTAATGTACGAAAACAAAATTCTGGCCTTCCGTCCGTTTCGGACACTTAACGGTAGGGATGGAAACGAATTGGATACGGATGAATATCACTAATATTACATTTATTTTCATATTTCTGTTCGGATTCGGATTCAAATGCGGATAGTATCGACCATGTCAGATAGGATACGATTGGATATCGACATCGTAAATATGAGATTTGAATATTCGGATACGGATACGGATACGGTATCGGATGATGAATATCCAGATTTGGATATGGACAGATCTGAACCCCTCTAAACGGATTCGGTCTTGAATACTGTCGAAAAATATACTGTTTTCATCCCTACTTAACGGTGTTAAGTCAAGGGTAAAATGACCATTTTATCCCTGACGAAAAAATAAGTGTAGAGTTTAGTTTATCTTTTTTAAGATTTGGAGTAATATTGCCGACCGGTGCCGCACAATGTTACTCCAAATCTAAAAATACAGGAGTAGAAAACTACAAAGGTATTTACTCCACCGCCGCCACCGTAGGGGGAGACGGCGGCGAGCCCGCCCCCTCCTCCACCTCGACCGACGACGGCGGATTTCCCCTGCCCGAGCACGTCCGCCGAGAGATCTTGGAGCTCGGCCTCCCCAACGACGGCTACGACTACCTTGCCCACCTCCGCGAGCTCCGCCCCTCCCTGTCCTCTACCGGCGGCGGGGGATCCTCGGCCGTGTTCCTCCCCAGCCGCCGCCCCGCGCGCTCCGGCCTCCCCGTGGACGTCAAGGTCCCCCCGTCTCTGCTTGCGTCAGCATCGTACGCTGTTTCGTCTGTCTGCCCAGGTTGCTAACTCTGTTCACGCGTCGTGCAGGCGTACGACTTCACTCATACACCGCTTGCTTCCGGGGAGGTTGCGGTGGTGGCGGCTCGTCGGGCTGAGGAGGCTATTGACCTGGATGTCGCTAGGCTGCTTGACGGGAGCGATTCGCCGGCCGTTGAGTCCGGGGTTGAGGATTTGGAGGAGGATTTTGTTATCCTTGCGAATGAGCCAGATGAAGAGCAGGAGAACGAGGAAGAGAATGTTGCTGACGGCAAGGAGAAAGCTCTGCAGCTACCTCACGAGCATTTTGATTCGGTGAGCTCAGCGTCTACTTCATGATCATTACTGTCTGCGAAGAAAGAGCTGTTGATCTACCAGCAATGAGTCACTACTAGCTCTGCTCACTGCAACAATCAAAATGCACGTTTGCTGTTTAATCTTTGAATTTCCTCATATCAACAGTTCAGTGACTAACCTTCCATCAACAATGTAGCATGGGTGTGAGTTATGCTGAAATCTTCTTGTATTCTAAAATTTTTTGGGCATGCTTGTGAGGATTCGTGTGCGCAAATTTGGTGTTACTTTTCTATTACTTCTCATTCAAATTCCATGTGGAATATCTTGATCCGTTGGAAACCAATATTCAAGGTTTTGATTTATGTGTGATATGCAATTTACAGCTTGCTTTGGAAGATGCTGACAGTGGAGATGATTGTCATGTTCGAGATGCAAAGCATGAACTGTCCCAGGAGGTTACAAACGAACTGAAATCGACTCACAGTGAAAACTTCGATGCTGATAAAAAGTGCAGGGCACCAGCACCACAATATGTTGCTCACGGGATACTAGAGTCCAAAGAGCAAATTGATGTGTCTTCTAATGCCATCTCCGAGTGTGTTGGATATGCTGAAATATATGAAGTCAGTGGAGAAGAAGAAGTGATTCTTGCTCCAGAAAGTAGTGAGGGATCTGCAGTTATGTACTCTACTACCACAGTTTCTGGATCATATCTCGATGTTAAAAAGAAATTTCCAAAACTTTCCCATGGAGAAACAAGTATGAAAAAAGCCATCATCAGAAAAGGAATAGAGAAGCTTCCTGCAGGGTATTTACCTCAGAGTGATGAAACTTTAAAACCGGGACCCTAGGAACCAAAACAGGAAGGGACAGAAAGCTAGGTAGAACTGGTGCATGTTGGGTTTCTCATTTCAACTCTTAAACATTTTAGTTCAGTATTTCTAACATTATTCCGTTGTTCATTTATTTTTCTGAGGCTATTTGCTGAGCTTATTCGATCCAGAAAATGAAAATGCTAAACAGACGGAAAGCCATCTTATTTTGGTCCTCAATGTTTTAAGCTGGATTCATACTTTGTTTAATAATGAATCAAACACGTTCTCACACTGTTCTGTTATAACATTACAAAGAAGCAGGTCATTGAGGTGTCTTGTTCTGCTTCATTATCATAACAACTAACCACGTGCTTCCACGAAATGCTTGGTACCATGATGTTTACCGGCTTGTGGCTTCCTTTTTTTTTTTTTTCTAAAGGAACCTTTTTTTTCCCTTAGGATCTCCTTTTATGCATTTCATGTCATCATTGTGACTGATAATTTTGTCTCCTAGGCTACAATCAAAGACATGTCATCATTGTTACTGATAATTTTGTCTCCTAGGCTACATTGAAAGATCAAAGTTGCAGAGCAAAGAATGCTGTCGTCGTCACTGGACCATGTTTTGGTTATCTTATATGTTATTTGTTATGTAAATCTGAAACTTGAACCGTGTACTTTCAAACATCAAGAGAACTGTAGAAGCGAAAAGATTGTACGCCTGATTAGACAGAGCTGTTAGTTTGATGTGAGGTTTTATCTCAAAGGCCCTGTTCACGTGCTCTTACACCTGGTTTGATCCGCTTCTTTTTTCATCTGAAACAGTGTTTTTTCTCACAGATTCCTCCAGAATTCCTCCAAATCATTCAAATTCCTCCAGAACCATACCATCTGAACGGGACCAAAGTTTTTAGGCTAAACATAGATTGCATGTTTCAGGGGTGGCTGCATATGTAGGGCTGCTGATCATCTCACTGGAATGATGCAAGAAATCGTCACTTCTCATCCCAATCCAGACCAGATGTTTTGTCTCCCAAATGTCTGCTGGGGAGGAAACAACGACATCAGCCGTTCTGCAACTAATTAATGAAGGATATTTTTTCGCCCCAAACATGAATTCTATTGACGTTAATATGACCCCATGTACGTCAATTCAAGGAGTGCAGGAATCACCATTTCAGACGGGGAATTCCGGAATTTTTACTGGCCCAACCTCGGTTCAGGACAAAGAAAATCAAACCCCATGCGATGCTTCGGAATGGTTGCGTCGAAATGATAACTACATCAGACCAAGGCAACAAGTATGTGGGGATATCGCAATGGAGTCGTCTGCTCAGATGGTTCAGGATCCAGGTGAAACAATAACTGGAATTTTATAGTACCTACTAATGATGTTTTTTTTTCATTTTTATGATTTATTTATATCTCACCATATCAACCAAATGATTAAACAGAATTCAGTTCAAGTGCCAATCAATTGCGGAGAAATAGAGAAAGGTACAACAATCTTGAAGAATCGATAAAACAAGAATTATTGGATAAAATGCGAGGCTATACAAGGGACAGGAGAAATATTGCACATCAGTCCATTCAGCATACTCCAAGCAGCAATGCCCAGCCCATAGGTTGCTTGATTCATTTTTCTTCCAATCCATAGTTTCATATATGTAAATTTCTGATGTTAATTATATAACTTTAACCTATAATAACTACTATACAGATGGGACACCAGCTCTTCGCACGTTACATGCAAACATCGATCGGGTAGATGAATATGACACTACCTTGTTCCAGCCGGCAAACAATGAGATACAAGAATCTGATGACGAAGGAGGTGGGTTGCTTTTTAATGACACAAACATGACCGCATAAGAGTTAGTTTTTAACATACCACGCGCTGCCCATGCAACAGATCCCCAGGAAGACATGGAACATCAGAGCGATGACGACGAAACTAGGCAATTCCACAGGGAAGGTATCGCCTCACGTAGGTATTATATAGGGAGTTCCCAGAACACTACCGGTGGATAAGTGGTCGCAAGCTCGGGGACTACATCGGTACGATGTACCTGTCGGTGCAGCTCGTATCGCTTGTACGACGATTGGATTCTCAACTTAACTGGGAATTCTTTTTAGACCCTGACACCACGTGCCTACGTCACCTACTACCAGACTCGGGGACTAAGTGGGCACACTTCACCTTGCGGTGAATGTGCTTATTTTATCGACCCCTGCGCTCTGACTGTTGGCCATAACTACTCCTGTACAAGGGTCACTTACATTTCTTTTCAGAAATACAAGTGGGCACACTTGATCAGGAAAGAAATCTTTTTCTTTTTTCTTTAGAGCACCATGCATTCTTCGGACAACCAGAATCTTCGGCTATAATCGTGGTCTACTGCTCTCTGTGCTGACCAGAATACTGGCACATTTGCTTGGTCAATGTTTCAACCAGTTGGAGATGATATGAGGACAGACTGCATTAGCCAAAGAAGATCAAACGGCGTGTCGCAACATAATACATGGTGCTCGGGGACTAGCTGTGGGGGTATTAACCCCTATACCCTTACGGCTAGGTTTGGGCCGGCCCGGACCTAGGGGTATCATGACAAGGACGTTGTGGAGAAACGTCGTAATGAAAATTATATTAAATATAAATATTAGAAGTGTACTTATCTTTGGATAGAAATCTGGTCGATGGCGATAAAGTTGCCCGGTCCTCGTGCTTTTCGGCCTGTTGTGACGGTGGTCGCGGTTGTCATAGCGCCGTTCTTCGTGGCAATCATCATAGCGACGTGGTCTGGTGGTTGAGGTGGTCGGAGCTCGGCGGAGCCGCTCGGGACGTGGTCGACGTGGTCCGTGGTCGATGTGGTCGGAGCTCGGCGGAGCCGCTCGAGACGTGGTCGACGTGGTCCGTGGTCGACGTGGCTGCTCGATCAGTTCGGTGGTCGGAGGGCATGTACCTAGCTCCATCTCATGGGGAGGCAAAAGCCCTCGGACATGTCCAGCCGAGGTCGGGCGCAGTCGGAGATCTTCCTTGCTTGCGTGAAGGTTACGGAGTAGCCTGATGGCAATTTAGTAGATTATATGTGGTCTTCATATTTGGAGTTGGAGAAGCACACGGAGTCCTTCCAGGTTGTCGCTGTACATTGTGTATGAATACATACATAACGCGAACACCCATAGTTGGCCCACTTGCTTGTACTCCGTCTTCTTGCATGGCTGCTTGACGTGATCTTCATCGTGCATGTAATGGCAAGCCATCATGCAAATCTGGTGTCGTAGCTCCATGTGGATGCCGCGTGGAGACAAAAAAAACCAGACGCTTGAGTCGAAACGGGACCATCTACACCACCGGGCCGGATCGAGATCGATCCGATCGACTCTTGTGATATGTCATAGATGTTAGGGCTGCTGCTTGTCTTAGTGCACCGTTACTTCTTGATACTCCTCAATCCGAATCATGTTGACGAAGTTGCGTGGCTTTGGCCGAGGTCGATGTATAAAACACAGATCCGAGCAGCGTTGTATATTGTACGTGTAGTTGGAAGCAGTGTTTCGCAGGCCGTAGGGCTGAGCCTGATAATTCTCCATCAAGGCTTCACACTCGGAGAGCTGGAGACCTGTTGCGGGGGCTGGTCGGCGACGAACGGAGCGCCCTTCAGGAGTAGACGTGACCACGAGATCCGTTCCGAGTCGTGCAGGACGACTGGCCCGAGCTGGTCGGGTAGATCTGTTGTGAGGAGTGGTTACCTGCTTGGTAGGTTGATTTTGAATCGAATATACCAGAGCTAGGGTTTCAGCAAGCTTGGTGCCGACCTGATCGATGGAGTCGAGCAGGTCGGTGTTGTCGATCTGCCTCCCTTTGTAGCGAGGAAGCGAACGACGGGTTGTCGGCGTGGCTGAAGACGATGCTGGTGTGGCCGGAGCCAGATCCTACGTGGTCGGAGCCGTAGCCGATGCTGGTGAAGCAGTGGTCGACGCAGATTGGATCTGCGCCTCCTCCGTGATCATGGCGATGAAGTTGTCGGAGCCAGTGGTCCAGATGATCTGGCCGATGGTGAACGTGAGGCCGTTCGGCGTAGCCATGGAGCCGGGGATGATGATCATCTTGTTCGTCTGGGGAGCAGTACGCACACCCCCTACCTGGCGCGCCACTGTCGACGAAATATGGTCGGCAGTCTACCTAGGGGTATGCCCAAGGTAGTAGATTATCGACAGACAGGTGCGCAAGCTACGAACGAGATGGTGACGCAAGACAGACACGAGGTTTTATCCAGGTTCGGCCGCCGTGAGGGCGTAATACCTACGTCGTGCGTCTGATTGTATTGCTGTACTTCAACATGAATCGTGCTGATAGTTTCGCAAGGACATTATTATATAGGGAGTTCCCAGAACACTACCGGTGGATCCGTGGTCGCAAGGTGTGGCAGAGAAGAAAGAAACAACTAGGACAGATTGGAAGAAAAATATATATATAAGACATGAGGGAAGGTATGTTTGAAGGGTTATCATCAAGAAATGGCATATATACCTACATTCCACACTAATGCTAGAATGTTCAATCTCGTCATGGCACTATCAAATTCTATGTGGAGCGAAAATATTTATTACTGGGAGCGAAAATACCCTAAATATGTAACAAATGTTTCGGGTCATAAATACTGGTAAGTGTCGTAAAATTTGGTTCAACTTTTCTATAAAAAACAGTAATTTGATTTATGTACATCAAATAAACAACTGATCTTCTCCGTCAGGAAATTGGGAGGCTTTCTTGTCTATAATTTCATGAAGTCATGGGACGACGTAAGATTGCCACGGATCACCACTGTAAGCATGTATAGTCTCCAACTATATTCCGTACACTACATACAATACTAACATATTATATTCTATACCATGCGCAGCTATCATCTACACTGAGGAAGAAATTCTTGGCTGACATTTTGACGAGTCCTGCAAACGAATGTTTCAACATCCCTGAAGATGTGCAACAAATAATAAAGGACTTACGCCAAATGTAACTTAGGCTATAA